ATTTCAGTCCTTTTTATAGAGAAATTGCAAACACAAATGACCGCAATTGTATTGCGTAAACTTTTGATATCTATCGTGATTGTAGTAGATATTGGCGCTGTTGCCGAAATATTTAACAAGTTCCGCGGGTGGTTTAAGGTTACCGAAACTGTCAAAATACTCAACATCGTTTCCCTTCCTCTTTTTGTATGCTACCCAGTGGGTTCCTCTATTTCGACGAACATCCAAATTTACGATTCCGCATTCTTGCGATCTGATTCGACGGGGTAAACTATCTCGCATAAAAACACCCCTGAAGTGAGGAATTTTTAATTTGCGCGCCAGAGATATTAAATCGACGTCGTATAGAGCCCTTCTGGGTAGCTTTATTGGGAGTTTTTTTGTTTCTTCAGATAAAGACCGAATCCGCCGCGTGGACTCTTTTTCAAGAATAGACCCGATCCCTTTTTTCCAATCTCTTCCATAGCTCGGTTATGGCGGTTGGCCTCTTCGAGTTTCTTTCGTGCGTTTTTCGCATCGATGACAGTTTTAGCGATAGCAGCGGCTCCGCCCGAGAGCGAACCTAAAGCCCCTAGCGCTCCTAATAACGGTAAAAGTGGTAAAATACCGCCCGATTTTGATTCGAACGGTATAATTCTAGGTACCCTAATTTTTTTACGTCCTCCCGCTTTTCTTACAGCGGCTCTGCCAGCTCGAAGCGCTTCCAGTGCCGATCTTCTAAGCATTTTAGGGTTATCGATATGAAACAATTGTTTCTTCTTTAATGCATTGCGAACCTTTTTCACGACACCCTGTCGAAACGAAACAGAGGGACGCCGTTGTTGACCCATACCGAGCTTACGTTTAGTTTTCATAGTCGCGGTGACAAAGAATGCGGCAGCTTTTTCACCAAACTTTGCGTCTTTAGATTTTACTCGCTGCCACGCACGCCTTTCCAATTCTTTATCCGCTTTATGACGTTCGTCTAACGATTTGTTTTGCGAATAGGCAATGTCGTGTACCTTACACGCAGCGTCCAAAGGATTCACCCCGCTATCGCCTCGGTTCAAGCGTTTTTCCAATTTTGTACCGGGACCGCAAAACTGGTAACCCGGAATGTGTACTTCAAAAGGTAACTTGTTAATAAGCGTGTTAACGAGACCACTTCCGGACGCGAAGCATAACATACTAATTAAAGGAAATTGCTTGTGTCGTATATATATACGAGGTGTCTCGAATAAACATTGTAGTCATGCGGGTGGTGCAGCAGAAACTCAAGCTCCCCATCGATAATTTAGATTTGGTTTGCGGAGATGGTTTCTTTAACAAAAGCAAACACGGTCAACTGCTACCCAATTCATTTAGGGCGGTGTTTTGCGGACCTAGCGGTTGCGGCAAAACCAACACCATGTTAGCGCTACTCTTTAACCCCAACGGGGCAAGTTTCGAAAATGTTTACGTCTACTCAAAGTCGTTGTATCAACCAAAATATCAACTGTTATCTCGCGTATTGAGCAATGTCAAAGGAGTTGGATATTATCCCTACAGTGAAAGAGACTCGATAATCGACCCCAGCGACGCGAAAGAGAATTCTCTGTTTATTTTCGACGACGTGGCGTGCGACAAGCAAGATAAAATTCGCGAGTATTTTTCGATGTGCCGACACAAGGCCATCGACGCTATTTATCTCTGTCAGACATACTCCAAGGTACCCAAGCAATTGATACGTGACAATTGCAATATTGTCGCGTTGTTTAAACAGGATGACATGAATTTACGTCACGTTTATGATGAACATGTCTCACCCGACGTTTCATACGACAAGTTTAAACAAATTTGTTCCGAGTGCTGGAAAGAAAAGTACGGCTGTTTGATAATTGTCAAAGATTTCGACGTAAAAAACGGACGCTACCGCAAGGGTTTCGACAAATATATAAAAGTCGATATTTAATTGTCGATAGAAACAGTCATGAAGGCGACGTCCGCCGACATCGCCGACGCGGCGCTAAAAAAAAAAGTAAACGAGTTGTCTAGATCTATTCGAAAGAAGTATTTAACATTAAAATTGGGTAAGAGCGAAGAGGATGCGTCAATTCGGAAGCTTTTCAAACCCGTCAGCGAGCCGCTAGAACGTATAGCAAAAATAAAGCTATCACCGTCACCGGCAGAAATAAAAACTGAACGTCGAGGTGTCAAGCGGGAACACAAAAAGGAACCGAACGAAGAAACAAAAAATAAGGTTAACGTATCATTTTTGCCTATGGAAGAAATTCAGGAAACGCCGGATCCCAATAAGAGCGTTGAGATGCAAAATATCGATGAGGAGGAAGATGATGTGTTTGACACATCGAGCGTGGCCAACGCATCCCTTCAATCATACCTGGAACAATATCCAGAAATTTCCCATTCATATATTCAAAATTTATGGGTAAAATCGCCCGACACCGATATTGTTTACGGACCCGTTTACGACAAAATATCATCCAAATGGTTTCTCGGCAATAAATCGCTGGATTTTCATCAAGGATCTGGCGATATTATTGTAGACGGCGAGAGATATTCCGGTACCCGCGGCTTGTATAATTTGGTGTTTTTGAAAGATCCCATAGCATACACAAAAGACGATTTGGCACAATATAAAAAAATAATGGAGGCTACCCAGGTGCACAGGGACGCGATCGGACGTTTGAAAGGCGCATCGACTGTACCAAAATATACCAAGGTCATCCGACCCTTAATAAAATCTCAGTCGCGTTCGTACTCGTACAGCGGTCAAGGTTATAATATGCGTTATAATGACGCTCCTACTGAATATGTATACTGGGACGACGTCAATGAACTCGTAGAGCGTCTGAAATTACTAATCGCGTCGAAACACGCAGGCAACACGTCTCATGATAACGAAATAGTTTCAATCGTTGAAGAGCTAAAAGAATCAGGTTTTATACGTTAGTTTAACGATGAGTCTGGACAAGTTTGGACGTTCTAGCGCGCTGCGACGACCCTTCACTAATACTGTGATTAGAAGCGCCCTCGATTATATGCCAGACGGAAACGTCAATATGAACAATTTAAAAATTTGCAATGTCCAAACGCCTAGCGACGACGGTGACGTGGCTAACAAAAAATATGTGGATGAGACAAGTAATTTATTAAAAATTGCATTGAGAAAGATTATTGGACAGAAACTCGAAGCGTACACGAAAAGATTACAAATTGAAGACAAAACTAAGTTCTCGCGTCTTGAAGAACAACTGAAAATGAGTAGCACTACACTCGAAAATGAAATTATGCAGTTTCGCGAAGTTTTCCACCAAAAGCTAAGCGAAATGAGCGCAAAGAAAGATTTGGAAAAGCACATGACAAAAGTCGCCGTTTTGTCACAGCAATTTCATGATATTGTAACCAAAATGGAGCGACTTACGAACGAAAATGAGAATATAATGAAGGTATTGAAACAAAGGGTTTTAAATCCTCCATCGCAACCGAACACACATTATGAATAAAGAGAAGGTACAACTGGTTCGAGAACTGCACAAGCCGGCACGCAGAAATTATGCTCGCCGCCGGACTATAATACGAGGGATGGACGACCTGTGGCAAGCGGATCTGGCCCAATTAGATCGCTACAGCAAACAAAACAGAAATTTTAAATTCGTGCTGGTTGTGATAGACTGTTTCTCAAAATATGTATGGTGTCGCCCGTTGAAAACCAAAACCGGGGTCGAAGTCGCCAAGGCGTTTTCCAAAATTCTCAAGGACGGACGGCACCCTCAAAACTTGCAAACGGATCTCGGTAAAGAATTTTACAACGACACGTTTCTGAAACTTGTGGATAAGCATAAAATTAACCACTATAGTACGTATAACATAAAAAAGGCCTCAATTGTCGAACGGGTGATACGTACCCTCAAAGAGAAATTGTTTCGACATTTTTCTTTACGCGGGACGTACAAATGGATCGATGTGCTCGCCTCTATCGTTGATGAATACAATAACACAAAACATAGAACGACGGGTACGAAACCCATCGATGTGAGTAAGAGCAATGAAAAGAGAATTTTGAAAACCGCGTATAGTAGCATAAAAATATTCGGTCCTCGTAAACTTAAAGTCGGCGACATCGTTAGAATCAGCAAAGTCAAGCACGTGTTTAACAAAGGTTATACACCGAATTGGACCACGGAATTGTTTAAAATTGTTAAAGTACGGGTTACTAACCCCGTAACGTATTTGCTTCAAGATATGCAGGGTAAACCCATAATGGGCGGATTTTATGAAGAAGAATTGCAGAAGACAGTTAACCCGGACTTATATCTCGTCGAAAAGGTGTTGCGCAGACGAGGCAATATGGTTCTCGTGCGCTGGTTGGGATTGGATAAGTCGCACGATTCGTGGGTAGACAACGTAGACGTTTTGAAATAAATTTAGTCTCGATTTAGAAGTTCTGACATAAATACGTGTATATGATGGCTCAAGAGCAAATTGTGACATCCAACGAATTGTATAATTTATTGGAAAATTTCGAGTTGCAATTTCCTTCATCAGAAGTGCTCCCGTCCAGCTTCGTTCCTGTAGAGCAACAAACCAAAAAATCTGCGACAAAACGAAAACAAAGTGCGTCGGTCGTATCCCGCAAGAAGAAGAAGAAAACTACCACAAGTGAAGCGTTTGCAGCTCCAACGTCATCCGCTGATTGGCTCGAAGTGTTCACGGACGGTAGAGAAAAAAGTGTCATTTGTGAGGCATTCAATTTAAAAAGAAACTTGGCGTCTCAGTTGTCGGGATTAGAGTGCAATATCAACGAAATTGAAACACAAATTGCGCTTTTTAATACAGACTTGCAAGTGGCGCGGATGCAAGCTCAAGAGTGCAAAAGAAAACTAGAACAATTTAATAATTTAGCATTTAACGAAATTGTAAAATAGTAATAATGTATATAATAAATAAATTATACAATTACAAACTTCTGTGTAATTATTATGCGGTGTTGTGGTGGTGGTAAAAAAGAAAATAGCGTCTAAATATATACATGTTTATTCTTGTTGCAATACAATGGAATACAATCAATACATAAAAGCCTTATCTACAGTTACATATTTTATAATAAAACCACAGTATTAATAGTTCAATGGACTATCAGAAAAGCGTAACTTTTTTCCATATTTCCTCTCATTGTGAAGCATTAGATTACATTCATCTTCAGTTTCTACAGTGAACAAAACTTCTTCAAAGCAGCTTTGACACCAAAATTGTTTATCGTGATATACATCATTCAAATTATTTATATCCAGCTGTAAATGATAGTGATCCAATAAAAGTCTAAAATTTTTCTTTTTAAATTGTTTAACTACTTGAAATATAAAGTGACAAGATTTACAAACTAAAATTTCCGAATATTTTATCCTGTAATAACTGACCCATAAACAGTAAGCGGATTCTCCGTCAAAATCAATGGTTGGAGTTGCCAAAATGCTATTTCTGTAAGACGATCCAAATCTCTTATTCAACAGAATGAATTCTAAATTTAATAAAGAATTGCCATCAGACTGGAGCGCTAATTGTTTAAGGTACCTCCATCTATATTTCGAATAATATTTAAATATTAGTATCGTTAGTTTCCAAGGCAAAGGTGACTCAAGCAAAAAATCAGCACTACACCTAATATTTTCGCAAATTGTTATAATACAAAGGCTTTCTAATGTAAGTTGTTTGACCATAATCTGTAACAAAAATATATTAAAAAATAATTAGGGCACTTTATAATGTCCCCACGGAAGCGTTTCATATGAATTCGGCAAAAGATAACGTTTATCGTCTAAAGGACTCAAGGCAACTTTTGTTTGTTCGATGCTAAATACATTGTGAGTGTATGAACGAATGGTTCGTTGAGTGGCGTACTTTTCCCTAAAATTTGTTAAGCATTCTACGTAGTCATCAAATGAAATTTTATTTTTTACAATATTGTACTGAATACCCTTTGACTTTTTAACTACCGAACCCGTTAAAATTTTGAAAGTATACATTTTCGACCTTAACCCAGCATAATGACTAATGATGGTGCCATTAGTCTCATCCTTCATCAACCCCAAAACCTTTTTGTTGATTTGCGGTATATTATAGGGATTGTCATTAGGATAATCAGACGTGTCAAATTTTGTTAAATCGGCCTTAATAACGCTTTCATATGCGTCATAACATTTGATATTATAAATGAAACTGTCCGTATCCATGTATTGAATTTTACATTTTTCGGGACCCAAATTTGGAAGCATGTAATTATAATGAAACTCGTACATGGTCGTTTTCGACAAATCCAATATGGACATTCCAATATAAAGTGGCTTATTAAAGCAAAGTTCCGTTTTTTTTAATTCTATAAGCAACAAATTGTTATCAAGTATGGTTCTACTGTGAAATCTAGGACTAGAAATTAAATTTTTCGCACCGTAGCGACCATCCCACGCTTTAACAAATTTAACAATACGATGCTTGCGAATGTTTTCCATTGTTTTACCGTAAGCGGCATTATTAAACAATTTGTATAAATTTATACCAAATTTTGTTTTTGCTTGGGTTCTTAATTTATTATTATGATCGATATAACATTTCAACCAACGAGATTGGTTAAATTTTAATATTTTGTGAATTTTCTTTAGTACGAGACCGTTTTTGAGAGCCTGTTTTAAATTGCGATAGTGTATGACGTATTTTTCTTTATTATACAAAGTAGTCATTAGTTTTGGTAACTTTGAATTGGGGGGCACTCGATGTTCGGCACAAAATGGAAAATCTCTATGTGTGTCATGTAATTTCTGCGGGTATTCCAGGTCTACCTCTAGGATATATCCTTGGGAAGATTCATCTGGAATGTTCATGACATTAAATGAATCAATCTCTTGATGAGACATCCAGTCGAATCCTCCGTAAGGAAGAGGCTCGCACATGGCCTTGCCATAGAGGTTATTGACGTCAAAGTACATGATATAGGAATCATCCCTGGATGAATCGTAATTTTGAACGAACAAATTTTGATAAATTAGATATTTCCTCCACGAACCAATCAATACAATCTAGACCACGATAACTTTTGAAAAATGATATTGAATCATCATAAGAACATTTAAAGTAATATGCAGCACTGTAAGCTTCGTGCTTTTGGTATTTCGAGGTTTTATCTGAAATTTTCAAATTTACTTTTCTCAATTGACTCTCAAAATCGGCGTAAATTACAAACGGAGTCCTTTGTTTATATATATGGTTTCGAAATTCAACGTAATCATATTTGGGAAAAGACACTTTATACTCATTGAAACTGGAACATATTGTTTCGTGGTCATGTAGACGAGTTTCGTTATTGAAATAATTCAAACACCTATCGCAAATGTATTTCTTGTGATTATATTTACTGAGCTGTGAGGAAACTAATCGAGACAAATTTTTAATGTAACAATAGTGATATTTTATTTCTTCATAATCATTATCTTGCGGATCAGGATCAAAATCATTAACTTTTGGATAATATTTATTTTGTATTAACAACAAATTTGAATGTTTTTCGCGTTTTTCTTTTGTTAATCGTGCAGGTAACACGGAATAAAAACTAGTTTTTTCATTTTTATTAAACTCTAAGATATAAACATTGATGGAAATATCATTGTCTTTTTCAAATTTGCTTATTTTATTCATTTCCATAGGTGTTTGTAAATTTTCAGTTTTCAAAACACTTTTGTAGTATGGATATGAAGAGGGTAAATACTGACGAAAACGTGCTGGAAAGAGTCCGCATACAACTGACCAATAAAAACACGCTTGATCGTCATTTCTAATGTTAATACAAGCCCTTTTATTCGCAATTTCTTTAGGCAACTCAACGAAGGATGACCCGTTACCCATTTCAAATTTATTAATGTTAATCTCTAAATAAATAATATTATTTAAAGCCCACCCGGAATCACGTTCCTGAAACTCTGACATTTGATTTAAAATTTTATCTTGCACATTTTCAACAAACCAATCATTCAATTCTGTTCCTAAATCAACTACAGCATTTCCGGTAGTCAGATATTTAACATCAACTTCGCCTTGGACATCATTTTTTGCCTTAATAAATTCACCGCAAAATGTGGTATTTACTTTCAGCAATAAAAATTTCTTTAAAATTTGACTAATTTTTTGTTGAAATATTGGACGACAATCGTTTAAAAATTGAATTAAATCTTTATGAAGTAAATTAATTATGACACCGGTCTGAACTCTTCCCTGGAAACACGACGCTACCGATTCCCATACAACCATTTCATTTGTGTTTGTCTCACGGCTACTACTTTGTAATCCCAATCCAAAATGCTTATGTTGATAATTAAGAATAATTTTTCTAATAGCTTTCAGATGTTGAATTGTAGTTTGTAATTTTCTTTTTAACCCAATAGATAAATCCTTTTCGTTAGAAACGATTTGGTTGCAAGATTCAATATTTTTATTTAGTCTCCTAAGCCACACATCACTATCTCTAAGAGTGAACTTGTCGGAAATATGCTTTTTTAATTTTTGTAAGGTTAAAATTAAGATTTGCGCTCTATGAATGATCTGCTTTACGCGCATCGTGGTTTATTAAATATATAACAGTAAATAAGACTTACCCTGTATAATATGTTGATTAATTTTGAATTATTTTGAATTTCTTTAAAGAGTTGGGCTTTCCAATATCTTTGGATCCCTCGTAGACCAGTTTGTACTGCCCCGACGCAAAGTGTTCTAGTCTCGGACGGAAAGCTTCTGTCACGCGAGTAGGAAGAAATACTACGGAATTTTCTAATTGCAGCAACACGGAATTGCCAAATTTTGTATTAACAATTTTGGCTCTAGTAATTTTAAACGGAACGCCTATCGGCAATTCATGCAGTTTGACAATCGGCTGCTCAAAATCACCTTCTGCAAGACAGGTTTGATTCAGTTGACTTAAGTCCATCTATAAATTATTATTAATTATTTTATCTCAAAATAAAAAAAATAAAAAAAACTTACGCTTAAGATTGCTGCTATTCTATTTGCGGTTACGGGTTGAGAGTACTAAGATGATCTTTAAGACCTTTATAAAATAATAACAAATGTTAAAGAATTAAAATAAAACAATAAAAAAGGTACTTACTGCTTTTTTGTACGAACACCAAACCACTAAGTTAGCTTCCACGTTGCACGAATAATACCAAAAACAACTACTGACAAAACAGAGAAAAATGAGATGTATTTATACGGTGCGAGAATACTTTCTAAAAGTTAACAAACGAAGACACCTCCACATGCGTTGCAACAAATTTTTCCCATTACGTTAATCCCACGGAGCAAATATAAAGGGGGCAATTAATTATTATTCTCAACAAGCAAAACAACTTGACATTTAGACTCGGCGCGTTTTGAAATTCCACATCCCATACGGAGATTGTAAAAAATGAAAGCAAGTTGGCCTTGATCTTTTGCGGCAACATACGTTCGTCCAACGTCCGAAGCGGTTGCGTTCCCGTGTGAAAGCGTGTTGACCTTGAGACTTCTACCTGCACGGTTGTCTGGCGACAACATCGCGTCTATTCAAATCGGCGTTGGTGCTTGTGGGTAGAAGACCTTTCGACTTTTAATTCAACCATGGAAGGGAGTGCATGTGTATAAATACGTTGCATGTGTATTATAGACTATATTCAGTGCAATGAATACAGAAGTGCGATGTCCATTTCCCTACGACCCTACAACTGGTAAGTTTTATATTTTAATTACCTTTATACAGTGCGCGTCTTTTCTTGTGGGTTTCAGTTTGGGTTATCACTTTTTTGGTTAGTTTCTACCTGTTTTTAAAATATGATACTCATCTTTTTTACGTTGCATAATAACCGATTTAAATTGAGTGTTTTTAATATCTTTTAAATGACAGTGAATGGAAAAGGGAATTTTGGCTTTTAAAAAATAAACAATTTTTAAATTTGTTTCAAAAATGTGCGTTTTATGGGGAAAACGCGAAATATGTTTTATTTTTTGTACTAAAAAATTGCAGTTTGCCTTTTTGACAATAATAATCGAATTAAATTGAGCGTTTTTAATATCTTTTAAATGACAGTGAATAGGGAATTTTGGCTTTTAAAAAATAAACAATTTTTTAAAAATTATTTGATGACCCCCCACTTACTGAAAGTTTTGTTTCAAAAATGTGCGTTTTATGGGGAAAACGCGAAATATATACATATTTTTGTTTATTTTTTGTACTAAAAAATTACAGTTTGCCCTTTTGACAATAATACACGTACATTTAAATGACAGTGAATTGAAACGTGAATTTTGGTATGCGCGTATAACTTAAAAAACAATTTTTAAAATTATTTGATAACCCCCCTTTTTGGAAGTTTTGTTTAAAAAAAATGTGTGTTTTATAGGAAACGCTACATATCATACTTTGTTTTGTTCTAGAAAAAATCGCGGTTTGTCCGTATGACAAGTCGCATATTATGTTGGCGCATCGCTTAGGGCGTCACATATTCAAATCACACAAAGAGTACCGGGGGTTAGAATTCCCGGTACGACATGCAACGACAAGGGAACATCACCAGCAGCAGGAGCAACCCGGTGGATCAAAAGAAACAAAGGAGCAGCAGGAGTACCCGGGTGGGTGGTCGACGGAGTGGGACGGCGAGGAGTGCACTTCGTATTTAGATTTCCTCCGGGAACGGGAAGAAGAACAACGCAAGGAACAGGAACAATGGGATGGTCGACTGAATCGACATAAAAAGAAGAAGAAACTCCTCGCCAGACCAATTTTATAAATAAAATAAAATAAAATGTATTAAAATTCAAGTTTATTTAATTATCCTCCCGATCCACCGCGTCACCGCCCTCTACCGGGGGGGCCTACGACGGTCGGAGCGCGCGACATCTAGCAGCGACGGGCGGAACCGGGGCAAAACAGGACGCTACACAAGCGCGCGACATCTAGCAGCGACGGGCGGAACCGGGGCAAAACAGGACGCTACACAAGCTGGGTGGGGGGCGGAGCGCACTCTGGTAGACAGGGGGGACACTAGGACGCCACGCGCGGGGGGGCCCCGCTGCGGGGGGGTTAGGAAATTGAGGTTATGTACGGTTTCTGTTGCTTATATCGGCACTATACATCTACTATCCGCCAAAGCAATTTCACGCTGTACCCTCGACAACGCTATCTCGTTCACTGAATCGTCCATCATACACTGCACATAAATATTCAATTATATCCGCTTGCGGAATAACCTTATCTCCTCGTAATACACGGTTGCGCAAATAAATACAACACCTATTGCGTAATGCCATAGGTTCATATGCCCAAAACTGCAGGCCTTTCCAACAAAGCTTTATTCTTTCTATTAATAATTAACGTGTCACCTCCAAGTATTAATTTTGTATCCTCTATATTAGTCATATGTATACTCGGTTGTTCCCAAAGCACAACACTCTTCATATACAAATTTTCCAACCAATGTACATTAGTATCACCATCTCTCTGAATATACGCAGGTGCCACAGGTGCCAACAAAGCATTAGCCAACAAAGACTTTCCAGCATTACTCGCTCCATGCAACACTATCGTCCGTCTCTTTGGATACACACGACAAAGCACAGCGAACCATTCCCGTACTACACGCTCGGACAATTGAAACAAAGGATGCAAATAATTCACATCTCGCTTGCTTCGTAGTGGTTCGAGAAACTCTCTCCACACCGTCGGTTCCCTCATCTCCAACTTCTCCTCCACTTTCCTCCATCGTATAAATTTATCTTTTTCTAATGCTTCACGAGTATGAAATAGATCCAAATCACGAGCCAAATCATATTCGGCATCACTAAACTGCACCATAAGTGACGCAAACGTCACCGGAAGGGAGGCGTACGTGCCGAAAGCGCGGGCTGACAGGAAACAACAACAGGAAATAGATATCAACATCCGACGATAAGCTATTATTAATACGTCCGGCACACACAAACAACAATTCAGTTATACTATGAACGCGTCGGTGAACATTTTTGTCTACACCAAAAAAAATTGTGTGCAGTCGTTGCAATTACATCCAAAAGTATAAATACTGTTACGTTTGAAATTTGAGACACCCGGTAAACTCATGTTGATGGCAAAATACGAAAGCATGGAAAAAAAGGAACGACGCACCGAGAAAAAAAAAGGCAGCGCGATATGCCGTGACCGCGGTGATCGTTCTTAAAATTTTGCACGAGTCATAACTAGGTTGCTTAGTGAACAGAAAAGTTATTCTGGCGTTTTACGGATTTTTCACTTTGCATCCCGCTTTGGCGACTTTTGTGGTACTCTGGTTGTTTTAAGAAGTTCCAAAGCTTATCTTGAAAAGATATTGGGTTTTGTAGAGAAACGTCTCGTGTTTTGGGTTTGTTTTTTGTGCTGATACGAGGCGTTTTTCTTTTTTTTTTGGCAATTTGCTTTTTGTGGTCCCGGACGGATACGAGAAACAGAAGGTTGCTATTTATCCGGAAAAGGCCATGTATTGGTTGATATTATAATAGTACGCCTAGAACATCCGGAAAATTGGGAAGAGCAAACGCCTTAGTTTCGGGAATCTTCGGAATTAACCTGAGAGTTCTACACCGACGTCCGTACTCCAGATAAGTACCACGTAGTGGAATTTGTTTTTTTATTTTCGCATACACGTAAAAGGAAATAAAACGATTCGACAAAAAGGACTGGTGTAGTGCCCAACTTAAGTTTTATTGCGAATTCTATAATTTTGTTTGTACATCTAAGATATTACCTGAACGATGAGTTGAAAAGAGGTTATTGACGGTTCCTTTTTTTTTGTCGTTAAGGGGTTACCCTCTTTTTATACTCGTCTATACTCTCGAGAGATTATTTACGCTGTAGGAAAATAAAACGTGTAAAGTTGTTTAATGTAATTACATATTGCGATCTTGTATACCGATCCCAGTGCGGCGGATAACTCTTCCCCCCATTTCGACATTAAATCGAATAACTGAATGTCATGGAGTGTTTTTGTTCCTTTTTTTTGTAATAACCGTAGCTAATGTCACCAGTGCGAATTAGGTTTGGTGATGTCAGTGTTTTTAGGGGTATATAAGTAAAGAAATCACCTGGCGCCCTATAAAAAAAAATACTCTTTATAAGTTGGTACTTAAATCGTGAATTTACCCACTCCCGCTCCGGCTGTAACTGAGCGGTGCATACCTCTCAAATGTTACCTGGATGGTGATACGGCCACGGGAAAAAAAAAAACAAATAAATAGGCAAATAGGAACAATATTTCTCGTTATAGGTAACAATACCAACACCAACCCTTTTGGATAGCGCGAAACAAAATACTAAAAAATTGTGTAAAGTGCTGCGAAGCAACGGTACATATCATCCGCTACGCGACCTACGACAGATTCCGACATGAATAGCAATACTAAAAAAAGGGTATTTACATGCTTCATAAGCGGCGAAGATAGAATCGAACGTCTAGAAGCCATGCAGCAATACGTCGCATGGTACATTGGGCAGCAAGAAACCGGCAGAATGGGTATGGAGCACATACAACTAACTTTCGGCTTTAAAAACGCAGGAA